TTTCTTTTAACAATTGCTCAACGCGCTTGGTTGTAGCACAAATGAATAAAGGCTGATAGTTTCGAAAGAAACTGTTTGGGGCTGCGTCGGTGGGAGTAACGAAATAATTTGGATATATCAACAAAGTTGAAATGGTAAATTGGCCACCGTAATGATTACAAGCTGGTTTGGCCAGGTGAACAGAAGACAAGTCCAGTAACAATAGCAATTAACGAAGATGAAACGTACAAAGTGTGTTTCACAAAGGTAGTTCCCATAAAATATCAAATTAATTGTCTAATAGCCCTGATAGAAGACCCGGAAGACACAGATTTTCCTCTCTCCCTTCAGGTTTTTTCTTACTATTTCTCACTGGCTTGTTAACACACTGCATACTCTGTGTAATAAGCTTCTCTCATTATTGAACCTATAGGAATCTGCAGCCAAAGGAGTTCTCACCATTCTTATACAGGGAGGAGTTGGAGTGGGCAAAACTAGTTTGTGCAACACTCTAACGCGTCTCTTTAAAGCGTCTGTTGGTAATGAAGTTCTCTCCCGTGGTCAGTCTGCTACCCAATTCCCTAACGAGTGTAGCCAGAAAACAAGAAATTTAAGGAAATCTTTTGAAAAGGTTGGTTATCGTATTTTTTGGTCTTTGGTTGCCATTTGCACGTAACTCGCAGCTCAGTCCAATAAAATTAGGTTAAATTTCATTGTCCTGTAACAGAAATGTTTCTTTAGATCTCATTATTTCATTTGAGATGTAACACACTGTACGAAATAAAGAGCCAAAAGTTTGAACCTGGGAGAAAAACAAGCTGGAATGAGAGAAAAAGGGTACAGAGTGTGATAGGATAAAACATTTTTAAGTTAATTCCTGGTGTAAACTTGACAATATTGTAGGAAAAAAGTAAAACATGAATTATCTAAAACGAAGCCTAACAACTTTACGCGGCGAAGACTAGCCATAGAATGCCTCGCTCCACAACGAGCTCAAAATTCTGATCCCATAGCGCTACCTTTTCCTCTCACCCATCTCCAGCCCTCCGATACGTGTCAGCAAAATCGCAATTTAATCCTAATTGGATTAAATTGAAGTTAGGAGCGGCCAATCATAAAATTCACTGATCCACCTCTGCTAAAAAGCAGTTCTTTACGTTTGGCAGGCCTGAAGACATGACCTCATTAATTTCTAACAAAACACATTTTTACTCTGCTACATAGAAGTTGATACCGCAATGTACTGACCGAGGCGCTAAACCCAAGCTGGTTTGGCCAGGTGAACAGAACACCAGTCCAGTAACAATAGCAATTAACGAAGATGAAACGTACAAAGTGTGTTTCACAAAGGTAGTTCCCATAAAATATCAAATTAATTGTCTAATAGCCCTGATAGAAGACCCGGAAGACGCAGATTTTCCTCCCTCCCTTCAGGTTTTTTCTTACTATTTCTNAAAAGCTAGCACGACACAGCTTCAAAGATACTAACGTTTTTTTCAAACAGCCGTTTGCAACTTGTTTGTTTGTTTTTTAAGAGGCTTGTGACAGCTTCTAGAAGTAACTGTGAATGTTGCTATGGATAGTGTTTTAAATAACAGTTTCTGGAAATTGTAATGATTGATTACGGTAATGAATCTTCATATCCGTGGTGACGGCCGATAATGCAATAGTTTTGAAAGTCACAGTTGAAGTAAACCAAGACAATGTTATTTGATCAATACCTTTTGTTTTCACCTGAACGTGATCTGCACATCATTCGATTAAATTAGTGTGACTGGGATTTTTGAGTTTTTCTTACATTTTGAGGTGAAGGAGTTATGTTAAAAAACTTGCTCAAAAGCGCTACTTTGAAATAAGAAAAAATTTGTTAAAAAAAACCAAGCGTTAAAATGCAAAGTACTGAATTTTAATGAGTTTGTGTTGTGGTTAACAGCTTGCTACTCATGCCTCTCAATTCGGGTGTCACGCGCTTTAAGTCGTGCCTTTTAAGTCGCGTGTTTTCAAGAACTAATTTCCGTCGACGATAAACTTTATTGAAAGATTTCTCAAATAACAATATACTACGTATTAGAAAGAACATTTCGAAACCATGTGATGTCTAATGTTATTCATGTGAACTCAGCATTGTAAGTGCTTATGTAAATTTACTTTTGGAATTTAAACTATTCGGCGTGAAAACTTTTTTTTAGATTACAAACTATATTAAAGCTGCCAGCTTTAATGAGCGGTCGTGGTCACCTCTGACTGGATTCCAACAGCCTGTTTGTATTTTTTTCTACCGATATTGAATGGTCATTTAGAATAATCTCTTAAGTCAAATTTATTCTGTCTTTATCTTCCAAAGTCAAAGTTAGCACTTTGTGGTCAAAGTTCGTTCGTATAAAATCGCGCTATGATAGAAAATCCATGTTACAAATAGAGCTTAAATCGTGGAAGGAGTGAAAATTGTGACTTAATTTATTAAGGTCTAGAAATTTTAATCTTGTTATTGACTTACGGGTGTTAAAATAACCCGCAAACGTCTACAGGAATTACAAATTCTTTCAGAAATAATCCCCCCGTTTGACTGAAATATCAGTTTTTGTCAAACATGCGTTTATAAAATCGTTCTCACGAGAAGTCTGGTAGGCAGACGATTTTGAGGAGCGTGATCGTCTGTTTCATCGTCAACACGGTTCATGTCAGCCTCGTGAAGTGCATCGTGACGTAACAGTTAATGAATATAGTCATGGTGACGGCCAATAGTAAAGTAGTTTCCACGGCGTCATTGCATTCTGAGCTCACCTGGCCTGGAGCGTGTACTCAAAGGGAGTTGCAGCGGCGAAGATATTTGCGAAGATATTTGCGAAGATATTTGCGAAGATATTTGCGAAGATATTTGCGAAGATATTTGCGAAGATATTTGTACAGTAGCCCTATTGTCCTTAAAAGGTGAGTAACTCTGGCTAGGCTTATTTTAAAATTGTCTTGAATTCAGTAAGTGCGTGATCCGCGAACCTTATCGAAGCATAGCACTTTCAGAAATGGCTCACCTTGCCTACAGGGCGGCCGAACTAACTTCTCGTTGCTCTTCTTTATGCTCTTTGACCCAAGTCCGTTTTATCTCAGTCTGACCTCCAGCGTTTCTTATACTAGCTCTTTCTTCTTGTTTTATGCTATTTGTAGCCCTCATCACAACTTTGCGATAATTCATTCTACAGTACAAGTCGCTAGTTGATTGTTGCTAAATACGAAGTGCACTGTATGTTCAAGTCCTTGCTCAGTATCAAACAATACTTTCCCCTCGTACACTTAACGGAGCGAGGAAGAAAAGATATGTATGTTTTTTACCCGTAGCAGACATTTTGATCTTATTTTCGCTCCCACTTTTGGTGAATTGAAGCGAGCAAGTTTGCGATTTTCGTTCTGATCGAATCGGTTTAACACGCCTTGACCGCGCCAAAAGCTTTCCAATTTGCTAACAATTCCTCCAGGAAGTATAAAAAGGTGTAGATATCTGCCTCATTTCGCCGAGTAAAGGTCTGTCGTTACTTAGCATCTTCATCATAGCGAAAGTTCTTCAGAAAACATTCTACTTTGAAGAACCCAGATCAACCAGATACCTTTAAATTTTACTCGACATTATTGTTACTTTTGAAAATGCGTATTCTGCGAATATTGCAACTTAAACAATGCCAGAAGCGCATGGTTGTTGTAAAGAAGGAAGGCTGCTAAGAAAACGCCTTCGTTAGACGCCATAAATATGAATATATTTGCTTCGCGTGACTTAAGCGCGTGTGGATAGTTCCTGTTCCCACACCTTTACCAAATTCCTTGCTTTGCACTGGTGCTGTAGAAGCAAAAACGACTCCCTGTTTCTAGTCTTTGAATTTTTGTCTCATATTAGTTTTTTCTTTTCAAACACGAGACAGGAAGCCAAACGAAATTCTGGTGAACATGACTCAGATTTTGACCTGTGAACATTAATTGGCACTGTTTAGAATGATCTATTTATCATATGTCACTTAAGCGTTACTTAAGAGGGAAGAAGGTTGAAGACTACTTTGGTTGTACTAAAAAGCAAATGGCTGTTGTAATCGCATACGATTCCAACTTTCGTGACAAACGTCAAAGGCCTTGTTTAACTTTTTGCTTATTTCTTGATGGAAATTAATATCTTTATTTGAGTAAATAAAGATCCAGTTGATCACGCAAACATTCTTAAGGATCACTTTGCCTCTGTGGGGCCCAGACTCGCATCAAGTACTCCAAATAGCAATAAACTATTCTTGCATTATTTACCAAAACTTAACTTCAATGGCTCTTTTGTTTTTGAACCAGTCCTTCCAGCCGAAATTTAAGTTGAATTATTGAGGACCCCGCCTAACAAATCACATGGACTCTGGTCCTGTCCCACTCGTCTGTTGAAATGTGTGCAACATATTATAGCTAAACCCCTTGCGACTCTCATAAATATTTCAATTGAGAGAGGTTTCTTCCCCTCTAAATTGAAGCAAGCTGTAATTATCCCTGTTTTAAAGGTGGTGATGAAACTGACCCTAGTAATTATCGGCCAATTTCTTTTCTCTCAGTCTTTAATAGATTCATTGAAAAGCTTATGTATAATCGCCTAAAACAATTTATGAACAAACATAATTTATTTAACAATTAGCAATATGGATTTCGTGAAAGATGCTCAACGGAACATGCCATCTTAGACATTGTCAATAGAATTCAACTCAATGTGGACAAGGGCATGTTTTCGTGGGGGGTCTTTATTGATCTGCAAAAGGTATTCGATACTGTCGATCATTATATTTTATTATGTACTGTAAGCTGGCTCATTGCGGAATTCGTGGTATAATCAATGATTGGTTCTGTTCATACTTAATTGGAAGAACCCAAACCACTCAGGTCGGTGCTTATATTTCTAAAAAAAGAAAAAACCTCTTGTGGAGTGCCACAGGGTTCTGTTTTGGGTCCTTTATTGTTTCTGATTTATATTATTGATATTTACAAGGCTTCAAACAAACTAGGATTCTACCTATTTGCTGATGATACAAACCTGTTATATGCTGATAAGAATTTAAAATCACTTGAATCTGTTGTAAACATGGAGCTACTTAATGTCTGTGACTGGCTAAGCGCTAATAAACTCTCCTTAAAAATAAAGAAAACTAATTTTGTTATCTTTCATCCATACCAAAAACACTTAGATTATGAAGTTAAACTTAATATATATGACAACCAAAGTAATAGACTGACAAGTATAGAACATGAATCATATGTTAAGTACTTAGGGGTACTGTTAGATAGTAACCTCCATTGGAAATAATCATATCAGCCACACCGCATCAAAAATCAGTAGTCATATAGGTATAATATCTAGATTAAGGCATTTCACTCCCTTCGTGACTTTGCTTAATATATATAGATCTCTTATTCTTCCATA